TTGAGTTGCATTGCTAGAACTTGGCAGAGGAAATGTGCATAATCTGCCTGAGCTGTGCCTGGTTTTGTGAAACCATGTCTACACTGGGACACTCGGGAGAGCCGCAAGAAAGACCTCACATATAGCGTGATGTCACAAAGCATAAACCAGAGTGTACAGAAGTTGATTTAGCTGCTCTCACTTGGGAGTAAGTGAACTTAATTTTCTGTGATTCTCTGGGAATATACTACAGTAAATAAAAAGGAATATCCAGGTGGGATTTAACATGGTAAACAGACTTCACACCTTTCATTGAATAGGCTTGGCATTCACAAAACATCCCTGAGTAAACACAACCTGACTATTCACTTCTAGGAGCAACAAAGTTGCCTGAAAGGAATTAAAAGAATACAGTCAGTTAACAATATTTCTAACTGCATCATTTTCAGGAATAGCATTACCATAAAAGACATCTCTGTTGTCATTTATAAAATGCTGTAAAAAATAAAAATATGTATTTTAACATAGGAGTATGAAAATGTCTTAAAATGGAAGAAAACATGAATATATGATTTGGACATTTATACTTAACACTCCTCTATTTTTATTAAGTATTGCAGGATCACTCACTACTTTGTGCCTGTGATCTCACACATACAAAGTATACTACAATACACCTCCCCCAAAAAAACAGACTGCACTAAGAATAGAGGACTAGATACTCATCTGGCATAATGTGAGACCACTTCAGTAATTTCGACATTCCTACTCCACTTTGCAACAGCTAAGGATCTGGCACAAAACATCAAGTTAAGTTTCCAATTACCTCATGCACCAGCATTGATTTCAATAGTTATATACACATAGTCATAGAGGAGAATTATTTGAAAAGCTGCAAAGTCAGCTCTGTATTTCTTTTAATTTGTGGTCTAAATCAGACACTTTATAGTATTTTAATGGAGGTTTCTGTGGTTTAATTATATATGTGTCAAGAGCAGAATAGTTACTTGCTGCATCTACCCAATTAAAAAAAAAAAAAAAGGCAGCCAGTAATTCTTTACACTCCTGACAATGTAAACTTACCACAATAGTTTAAAAAGGGTTATTAGAAATAAAATATCTTTTTGGTCTTTTAAAGTCAACTGTTCTACCTATCGAAGCCCCAGGCTTTACAATATACATTAAAAACTTTCTGCTTTACTTATATATATTAGGTGACATTTTAGAGATTGCCGTATAGAAATCAGACTTTTATGAAATAATTTTTTGATCACTCCATACTTCTGCGTTGCAATATTACTGTCACAATAGTAATAAATTCTAATGTTGTAAAAAAATCTAGTGCATATTAACTTAAATACATAAGTAAGAAGTCCTCACCTATATGAAAATTAGTCTTCTGTATGTGAATATTTTGCAGGTTGCCTTGGGAGGTCTTTTTGCAATTTGCTGCTCCAAATTAGTCAAATTGTATAGTCTAGACACAATAGGAGGCAACACGAGTGTAAAGACACAGTATTCAGTCAGCCCAGACAGACTGAGTTCTTCAGAGACAGCACTTAAATTACATCCAATTAAAACAGCTCTGCGCAGTCCTGCAACATTATTTGCCACATTCTACTTCTATGGACAGCTGCTTAATGAAAAATCACCATAATTTTATTTATTTTTTCAATTCTAGGAAAAGGACACAGACCTCCAAAGGAATTTAAGCACAGAAGACCTCCAAAATCCTTCTTTCAAATCCATGATAATTGTAGTCTAAATCAAAGTTTAGTAGTGTCTAGTACCTGAGCCTAATAGCTTACGATCAAATATATACTAGTCTCACTGGTATCTGGACCTCCGAAAGTTCTGAAGATAATCACTCCTCATTATAATCTTCCCTTACCATGAAGAAACTTTAAAGAAATTGAAAATAAAATGCTTAAACTTTAGTATTCCTCAGACAGCCACTAGTATGTGACATTTTGCTCTAAAGTCTGACAACTAGCCTATATACAGCCCTGTGAGTGAGACTGCCCAGTGATGCATTTTGATATAGGATAATCAATCATCAAAGTAATTTCACTGTTTAACATTAAAGCAAAAGGTAGGCCAGCTATTCAACACATTTCTCAGGCTTAGAGACAAAAAGAAGAATCTGCTTAAAAATAGTTTTCACCAAGGTCCAGTATTACAGGCATCCCAAAAGGAATCCTTCTGGCAGCATTACAGCCTACAATATGGACTAAAACTGTATGTTTTATTACCTTTTCAAATAAATTCTATTCTTTACTTGACAGATAAACACTCTTCATATCTGAGCTTTCGCACTGCAAAGTGCATCCAAGTTCCTTTAAGCACTTCTGATTTAATGACAGATTGAATAATATTGCAACACAGAAGTAAGGAGTGGCCAAAAAAATATTTCATAAAAATCTGATTTCTATACAGCAATCTCTAAAATATCACCTAATATATATAAGTAAAGCAGAAAGTTTTTTATGTATATTGTAAAGCCTGGGGCTTCAATAGGTAGAAGAACAGTTGACATTAAAAGACCAAAAAAGATAATTTATTTCTAATAATCTTTTTAAATTAATTTTAAAAAGAGTAGCAGTTTATGCCTTCAGTAGAACCATGCCCTGAAATCTCAGGGGTGATTAAAGGGCCATGCCAAAGCTGAAAGGTTTCAAATATCAAACTATACTATTATGTCAGGGCCGGCAAGATCAATTAGCACTTTTCAATGACAGAAAAGGTTAAGTTTGACACACATTTACACAATATTTAAATCCAAAATAGAAAAATAGCACATAAGTTAATACCATATATTAAAAGTTTACTTATAAACCTCTCAATCGATGACCAAATACCAAAAATCTTTTTCCACTTGCACAACATAAATACTGCTTTTCTAACGCAAAATGGCAAGAAGATTATAGATATGTTAGGTAGTAGAAATAACACTGGATTCTCAAGTGCAAAGTAGAGACCAAAGACCTCTGAGTGTTTCTGCTATCAGATTTGGTTTATTGCTGCTGAACTTTCAAAAACTTCAAAAATACTTGATCAACTTGACATAAGTCTGTTAGTCTGATGCCCCTGTGTTTGCATCCTTCTTGCAAACCCTGACAATACTAAAAATGAACGATAACGAGCAAATAAACCTATTCCCATGTTCAACTATAAGACAAATAGAAAACTACCATAAAACAAACCCCCACAAATTAAAACCACTAATCTGCAAATTAATTCATTTTAAATGTGGAAGAAGCAACTGTACACCTTCTGCAATTAAAAGCCATCCAGAAACATACACATACAGGAAGCAAGGGAACATACAGGAAGCAAGGGAACTTAAGTTTCAGTTCTTCGTATCAGAAGAATACTCCCTGGAAGTACAGGTATGTTAGAAGTTAATTCGATACCTGTTAATACAAGTGTTGCTGCAGTAAACATAGCATGAACAAAGTACTAGGTTATGATATCAAATAAAGTCAGTATAAAATCACAATAAAATGCTGGAGATGAAGAAAACCTAAAGAAAAAGCACACTCTGTTGAAATCAGTGATTTAGGTTGTAAAGGCATTATTTTGAGTATAAGCAAAGCAAGATTACTTTTGTTCAATGATATATTTCAGAACGGGTTTTTTTGTTGGTTTTTTTTTTTTTTTTTTTTTTTTTTTTATAAGCTCACTTCTCTATTTATTTCTTCAAGGAGTGATTTGAAATATTTACTACCAGACAGTACCTAATTTTAGGTTTTAAGTGCTTTAACAGCTCTATGAAATATGATCAGCAGCTGCAATATAGAAGTATGCTGAATAAACTCTCCTTATAAAAAGGGAGACCTGTTTTACCCTGAGTTCATAAAGTCCCTACTTTCAAGAAAGAAAAAGATAACACAGAAAAAAATGAGTAGTTGCGTCCCAGAACGTTTGACAGAAATTCCAGGAATTTCTTTCTTCTTTCTGAATTAACTTTCATATTTAATAGAGGGAAAACTACTTTAAATTTTAACAGTGGGAGATTGCATTGAATGTCATGCAATACCACCAGGTCATCAAGGAAACAGACAGGTACCTTTCCCATACCAAATGCCAGTGTTTAACACTGATTAATTCTAGGACTGCAAGGTAAAAGTTGCTTAAAGTTTAAAGAGTAGCTCTCAAAGCTTGCATCAGAGGCTAAAAATATGCAACAGGATACTATCTATAGCTGTATTTCTAGTTGCCTTGTTTGAAACGTTTTAACTGGGAACTGCAATTAACTGGGAACCCAGCGGTTATCTGCTCATTAAATTCCTTGTTTAGAATTTCTCTATCCCATTGGTGTTATCCACACAGCAGAATAAATTTCTATTGCAAAGTGTTGTGATGCCATTAACAAATAGAAATACAGCAAGAGTAACCTCCAACTAAATTTATTAGCAGTACAAGCATATACACAGAACAATTTATAACTGCATATGAGTTATCTGAACATAGACACATAAAAAATTAGTCAACATGCTCCTCTTCCGTTTTCACTAAATTTGATTGAGGATTATCTGGTAACATAAATATCAGAATTTTCTAAAGAAAGCTAGAAGAGCTGTTTCAGACGTAGCCCAGCTAATGCTAATGTCAAACATACAAGAAGAATCACAGAGAAGAGACAGAAATGTCAATCTCTATTTCCACTTCACCCACAATATGATACATATTGTAGGTTCGTAAACATTTGTTGTTCGGCAGCATTTTCAGAAATGCGAGGAGAACAAGAGAAGCCCTCAGCATTTTTACGAAACCGCTCTTTTGAGTGTTAAGGAAATGAAACAATGATATAACCTGAGCTTAAATGCAAGTACGCTCTTCGAATAACAAATAAACACTGAGGTCAGGCCAAAAGAAAAATATTTACCACGCAGTAATGATGCTTGCTTTGTATACTTTACTCTAAACTGTCGATTAGTTTATCTTAGATACACTTTCTAGTCTCAGCAAGTGAAACACGTAAGACAAAACCGACAAAACTGAAAATACTGGTTTCTTACTGTTCTAGCATGACTTCATGCTTAAACTCGGATCGGCCAAGGCGCTCCCTTGTCTGGTACGGCGTGCCTCCCAGGATTTGTGTAAATACCAGCTATTTCACATCGCCGCTCGCGAGATAAACGCACACCTCCGTGTGCTCCGCTTTAAATCCTGCCCGCGGGATAACGGGAAGGCAGCGCCGTACCGACTTGGCGCTCAGCGGCGGTTTCATAAACGTAAATGAAACTTTAGATGCCAATTACTGATTGGCAGCGGCGCTGCCGTGGGCTCCCGCTCTCGCTGCTCGGTGGCAAGCGCCGCGGGGCCGCTCCCCCGCGGGTGGGTGCCGGGCGGCGGCCCCGGGG